CCCAGCCCTACACGCCGCGAGATCCACGACGTGGAAGACACTGAGCTGCGTGGACCGACGGTCTAGTTTAGCAGTATGAGAGTTGGGATGCCGGGACTCTGTGGACCTCTGGAGTGATAGAGGATGTGTTGCCTGGAATAAAACCACCAGCTGCCACGTGGAAAGGTGGCACAGCTGCCCCATCTCCTCTGGCTTCATCAACCAGCATCGATGGCCCCTCCGGTATAGCTCTGCTCAGACTTGGGGGTTGGGCGTGCATGGGATGAAATGCTCCAGAAGCTGGGTAGTGCCCCATTCCCTCCCATAGTATCCACCGTGGGTTACGCCGCAGCGCAGCGCGCTTGCAACAGCGAAGAAGCAGGTGCAATTGGACCGAAGGCTTGAGATGCTCCAGCAGAGCGGGGCTGAGGGCGGGCGCTGGCATAGCACACAGACGGTGGAGTAGGCGGGGGGGCATCGCAAGAGCTGGAGAGGAGAGCGGCACAGTCAGAAGGGAGGAGCGCTGGGAGAGGGCAGGCTTCGGAGCAGCAGGCAGACACCTGGGCAAATAACAAGACCGCTGCAAGCCAGGACAGAGGTGCAAGGCAGAGCAATGGAGCCGGAGGGAGACGTGCCCAGCACCCGCCTGCGCGAGGTCTCTTTCCAGCCAGCGGTTTAGTCCCTGGATTCAAGGAGCTCCCTGTTCAGGTGCAAATGGTACCATGCAGAAACAGCTAATCACCGCCTACTAATTGCTCAGCTCCTTGTGCCTATGTGTGGGCACGCATGGCTGGCTAAAGACCACAATTGCCTGCAGTTTCATTGCCTTCAAGAGCGAGCGCCTGCTGGAAGCCGAGGTCTGCAGTAATTGCATTTTCATACGCTGGATGCTAAGATGTAAAATACAACTTTAAACTTTATTGGCATTTGCCACTTCCCTTTGTGCTTTCACCCCGGTGTAAATGACGGCAGGAGAGCCAGAGGAGGAACCTTTGAAGGCGAAAGCACAAAAGGTTATTTTTTTCCCCTGCATTTGCTCATATTGCAGTGACTTGTTGCAAGAGAAATATTGCCCCGGCAGCCAGCACCGCTCTCCCCAAGCAATATGAGAACTGTGAAGTTATGAAATTGAGGGCACCTTCACTGCGAAATCGATTAGCAAACCGAGAGAGCTTGTGAATTGGATGTCTGGCCATTTTCAGTAATAAATTGTGAAATAGTCCGTGAATAAGTGGTTCGCAGAGTTCAGAATTACCCCCTAGGAAATGCAGGAGACCTGGAGATACATTACCAAGGCGAGCAGCGTGCTAATGCTCAGTGCTTCGGCTCTTAAATATGTATGTAATCCCTACAGCAGTTCCCAAAATTAACAGTACTTTTTGGCTGCGCCGGTGTTGGCATCCAGGCCAGAGAGCCAGTCCATGCGTGAACAGGGACGAACGGCGAGGAGGAGGAGGTGGAAAGCCAAGGAGTTTAGTGCGGCTGCCCTAGTGACATGGGCACGATCCTGCCCACCTGGCTTGTAATCCGGCGCATCCAGATGGCTCGTCGGCTCCCGGGCTTCCTCGCTGCCACGCACGAGGAGCGCAGGTTTCTGCACCGGCGGCGCTAGGCACCATCGAGGTGACGGCAGGAGGGATCCGCTGGCTTGACCTAGCCCCAGAAGCCAAATCGGGCACCTGCAATATTCAAGTGAAGTCATGGCTCTCTGGACCCGTCGCGCTGGGATTCCTGCGCGGGCGGATGGACAGACACCGAGCGACTGCAACACCTTCGCCTTACAAAGGGCTAGAGCATCCCCTCCCCTGCCCTCTCCTCCCCCCGCTCAACGCTATGCCTCGACTGTCTCCGCTTCGTGGGTCCTGAGCCCCCGCGGTCCCTCCCGGCCCTGCTTTTCGATGGCTCTGAGATCTGTTGCTGCTCAGCTACAGAAGAGGAGGCAGGCGGTGGAAAAGGCCACGCCAGGGGCAGCTCTTCTCGTGCTGGTGCTGCAGTCCTGCCTGCCAGCCCCGCTGGAGGGGACCCCACAGCGCCGGGTGCTGCACACGCGCCAGGGAAGAAAGACCTGGGAGCCCATGGCTGGGACAAGCCCCACGAGGTGGCTGCAACGGAGGGGAGCACAGAGCAGCCGGGCACGATTAGCAGCTGTGCTTCAGTGCCTATCTGTATTAGACAGGCAGCCGGGGTCACCGGGGGCACTTTGCAGGCAGGCCATGAATCAAAGCCGGGGTGTGAAGGACAATAGTAATGAACAGCCCCCAGGGTGTTTGCTTGCTGCACCTGGAAAGGCTTTTCGGAGCAAACCAGCAGCTCGTCCTGGATTCAGCCGGAGCTGGCTTGCCAGCCTGACACCTCTGAGCCCTTCCAGGCTTTCAAGCTGGGCATCTTTGCAGAAAAAAGGCTTAATCTCTCTGAGCATTAGCAGAGGCACAATCGCGGGGGCCCAGAGGAGCGCAGTCCCCCTTGGGTGCCTGGGAGCATCCCTCTTCCCCGTGTCGAAGCTGCCCTGCTTTCCGGCTGCCTGCGGTCTCCTAGCGAATCAAGGCAGCACTTCCCTGCAGACGCTTGGACCTGCCGGGGCTTTTACAACGTGCAGTGTCGAGAACAGATGAGAAAGGGGAGAGGAAGCCCCCAGACACCTGGCATTTGCCTATGGCTAGAAGGGCCTGAGCTTCCACCCCCCGGCCTACTGCCTGCTGCCCGGGGCCGTTGGCTTGAGGCACCCCAAGGACTGCTCTTTGTGGCTGCTACAAAACCCTGGGCCACGTCTGAGCTGCCCGCGGTGCAACACGAGGTGGCCCAGACCATCAGAGCAGTTTCCAGCTGGTGTAAAGCAGAGCAGCCTCCAGGCTGCTTTAATGCATGCCGGCTCCCCCAGAGGCTGCCCAGGAGAGAGAGCTGGCACGGGAGGACCCCCGTGCGCTCACAGGCGTGCCCTCGGGGCCAAGGTGGGGGCACAGTGCTTTGCCAAGAGGGAAGCTGCTCTGGCTGGCACCGTGGCCTCAGTAGGGCCGAGCCCGGGACAGGATGTTCCTTGGACATCGGGGTGACTGTGGAAGCCCCGGCCCGTGTCACACCCCGGCCCACAGATGCAGATGTGGGCTCTCAGGGGTGCCCAGGGTGACACAGACGCTGGCATGTTGCAAAGGCAAGGGCTCAAGATACGGTCTGCTCTCCTGACCTGCCCCTGGCCAGCAGCAGACCCCCGCTCCCACCCCGACCCCGTCTTGTATGCTTGCACGCGGAGGGCAAGGGCATGGACACCAAGACGGCTTTGGTCCCTGGGCCAGCCCTCGCCAAGCACCGCTCCCTGATGCTTTACCCCAGCCACCGACCATTCCCTTCCTCTCCCCGGGCTCGGCGAGTCCACATTAGGGTGGCCACGAATTGGTTTGGCTGCGTGTCCGGTACGGGAGACGTGGAGTTGAAGTCCACCCACGCCCAGCATATGAGCACCATTGGCCCCCCCATTTTTAATTTGCAGCGCGTGCAATGGCTTCTGTCTCCTCCTGAAGTTTTACTGAGTGGGAAACAGTTGGCTGCTCTGAAGAGACAAAAATTAAATTTTGTGGGGGTAAATGAGGTTGCTAATTAGGTGTGGTGCCATGCAAAGCGAATCCAGCCCTGCCTGGACACTGCGTCATGCTGCCCCAGCCCCGGCCACCTGCTTTTGCTGCTGGCGAGGCTGGGTGTCCTCCCCTGATGCCAGCGCCTGGCTTTGCTCTCTCGTGCCCACGCAGGAGGAGCCCTTCGTCATGTTCAGGAAGTCAGACACGGCCCTTTTTGGGGTAGACCGCTTCGAAGGTTACTGCATCGACCTGCTGAGGGAGCTGGCCAACATCCTGGGCTTCACCTACGACATCCGGCTCGTGGAGGACGGGAAGTACGGGGCGCAGGACGAGAAGGGCCAGTGGAACGGCATGGTCAGGGAGCTCATTGACCACGTAAGTAAGGCGCGCCTGCGCGGGCTCGTGGCCCCTTGCTGGGGTGCCGCGGGTCTCTCGGGAAGCCTGAGGCCGGTGTGTCCCCCAGTGCAGGGCCGGACACCTAGAGCAGGGTGACGCCCCCTCCCCCTGCCGCCCAGCCCACCCCCGCTCTGTCTCCCCTGCGCCCAGGGCCAGGGGGTGGCGCGGACCCTTGCAGGATTTCATTTGGAGCACGAAGGAGGATGCATCGATTCCAGCAGAAACGTCTTTGCTTGGGGGGTAGGCAGAGGGATGCTGTTCCCCAGGGGCTAGCGTCCCAGCTCTGCCTGCTGGGCTCTGGCCACTGGAATAGGGCACCCGTGGGGGTACGTGCAGTGGGAAGTGGCTTGCCCAGAGCGCGGCTGTGCTTCAGTGCTCACGGGGCAACACCACGGCCTACTGGGGTTGTTTCTCACCAGCAGCGGGTAGGAACAGGGGTCTGGGTGGAGAGCGGCAAACAGCTCGCTTGGACTCTGCCCGCTGACTTGCACCAAACAGCGCCCAGAGAGACGAGGAGACTTTTGGTTGACCGGTCACACTGCTGAATGCAATCCCGGAGCCAAGTCTTTCCTCTGGTCTGCCCGCACCAGCCCCACGGCCTTCCCCCGGTGCTGCCTGCATGGGTGCAGGGGCAGGACGAATCTTATGGACCCCTGTGTTTCTCTCATTGCAATGAATGGGAAATTTACCCTGGGGTTTAGCAAGAGAAGCATGGTGCTCCGTGCATGGGCAGCGTGGCACCCGGGGGTCTCTGCCTGTGAGCGGAGAACTTGCTGCTGGAAATGGCCAAGGAAGGAAAGACTGGCACGTGTTAGTCCATCCCCAGGATGGCTGCAAGGTGTGCTGCAGCTGGGAGAGGACAAATGCAATCATAGGATGCATTAGGGGAGGTGTTTCCAGCAGAGGTGGAGAAGGATGGATGCCATTGTGTCCAGCATTATGTCCAGCATACCTGCTGCCTAGGAAATGACCTGCTTGGTGGCACAGAAGCGGAAAGGGATGTTGGAGTCCTAGTGGACTCCAAGATGAACATGAGCCGGCAGTGTGACGAAGCCGTCAGAAAAGCCAATGGCACTTTATCGTGCATCAGCAGATGCATGACGAACAGATCCAAAGAGGTGATACTTCCCCTCTAGACATCTATGAATCAGTCCCGCATGCCCCCTGCACAGGCAACTGGAGCAAGCCTTTTATATGTTTCAACACCGGTGGGTGGCGAATTGGCTGGAGGGTCGCACCCAGAGAGTCGTGGTGGATGGGTCGGTTTTGACCTGGAAGGGTGTGGGCAGTGGGGTCCCACAGGGTTCGGTCCTTGGACCGATACTCTTTAATGTCTTCATCAGTGACTTGGACGAGGGAGTGAAGTGTACTCTGTCCAAGTTTGCAGATGACACAAAGCTATGGAGAGAAGTGGACACACTGGAGGGCAGGGAACAGCTGCAAGCAGACCTGGACAGGTTGGACAAGTGGGCAGAAAACAACAGAATGCAGTTCAACAAGGAGAAGTGCAAAGTGCTGCACCTAGGGAGGAAAAATGTCCAGCACACCTACAGCCTAGGGAATGACCTGCTGGGTGGCATGGAAGTGGAAAGGGATCTTGGAGTCCTAGTGGACTCCAAGATGAACATGAGTCGGCAGTGTGACAAAGCCATCA